AGCTCAAAAAGATAGCCTTTTGTCTGCCACGCCCAAAAGGATAGCCACTTGTACGTAGGGAGGGTCGATTAATGTTGTTTATGGTTGGTATCGTGAATTTACGACAGCCTATTCTTGCTCGTCGAAGAAAACCAAATTAATTAGGATGAGCACTCTAAATAACAAAGGGCATTTTTCGACATCTAGCAAGATGCAATTCTAAACCTCGATTCGTGACAAATTTGTATCGACAGTTGGACCAAAAATTTAAAACAAATTTACGGAAAATTTCGCGGCAAAGTATGCAAACATTCATCACAGCGCCCGTTTCGCAACGGAATTAGTACGATACTCCATGGAGTGTGGCTGTCTCTTCTCTATTGTCGCAGGCGGCGCGCGGCCCGCAGAGTTGCACATCAGCTCCATTACCGAGAAACGTGCGTAATGGCAGCAGTAATAATAAAAGCGAATAAGAACGCGACTTTTACCCGAAGTTGCAATCTGGAGCGCTGTTAACCCTATTTGGTACTAGACACACTGTTATTGGAAGAAACCACAGTACATGGCACGGAAAAGTCTGGTTTGCATGGACAGCTTGAACCTGCTGGAGTATAGACTTTTATGTACGGAGTATAATAATTTTTCACATGCAGTCTTATATGGGCATGGGCACTTCAGTGAATTGAATGATGCATAATGGACATTTAAGCACTGTTCCTGTACCTTTGTACAGGATTTTTGGCAGTGCAGGCTAGCTCACGGACCCGTTTCTAGTCAATCTATAAAAGTTTTTATCTGTCCAAAATGTCAATACTCCCTTTACCTTTTCTGTTGTTTTTTTCGAAAATTTATCAGAATTGTTTGAACGCAAGTGCGACGCGCGCAGGTGTTGATACGACTGTACACGATACACAGTAGACCTGCCTATTATTCTTCCATTAGCATGCATACATGCATTTTATTTTGATTCTAAAAAAAGGATTACGTGTTCGGAAAGGCGGACTAATCACAAGCTAGGCCATAGCGCTGTAGAGAGTGGCCCACGCCCACAGACACCGGAGAACATTTCAGTTATACTGTACTTCATGCAGGCGTTTGCCGGTTTGCCCAGTCTCAAGCGGGGCCCTTATGCACTGACATGAGAAAAATATTTCCTTCCGGGAACTTAAAACATTTGTCTATTGCTCCCCTTTGACCCAGCTCAAAATGAGATATTGCCCATCTATTGAGATTGCACCAGGTGGCTGATTCACGCACTTTCGTCGTTATACTGTACCGCATGCTCACGTGCGAGCGGATTGCCTATCCGCACGGGGCCATAAGGAGCCCTGTGCAGCGAGCATAGGCAAACCCGCCCGCACGCGTACATGCGGTACAGTATAACAATTAAAGTGCGCAGCGTGAATCGGCCACCTGGTATGCTGTTCAGTCAATTTCCTTTTTCTGGGATGCTACGTTTACCTCGCAGCGCTAGACCTATAGGGCAAAATGCTTCGATCTGGGCATTAAACATAAGTGCTCAGCCAGAAAAAAATATGTGGGGCCCCTTGGTAAAAGACGATGGTGGCAAGCCTCTTGCACGGCTGCATGCAGTAAAGTAAGTATATGTACGACATATTATTATTCGAGGTTCTGTGGGCCACCCTGTATGCGATTCCTCGCCATTGTGGAATCCTCTCAAACGCAAGGGTCACTGTCACCTGCGACCTGCCACAAAATTTGTCCTCAGAAAATCATGTTTTACCCGCGTGACTTTTCAGTTTTTGTCTATAAATCCGCTTCCCATCCATCATGGACCGTTGATTATGGAGAGGAGTCCCGCGTCCTCGGCGGCGCCCTGTCCCGGGTCGTGAGCGGGCCGTCCTCCGCAGCCCGCCGATTACCTCCGCCCGCGCCGCGCCCCGAGGCCCGCCCCGAGGCCCGCCCCTCGCCGTCGTCGGTACCCGCCGGCCGGTCTGTGTTTACACGGTTGCTGCGGGCTGCTGCGAGTGATTACCGGCCCGGGAGGTCCAACACGTGCCGCCGGGTGTCACCTACGGGGGCCTCGGGTGCCGAGAGTCGCACCTCGGCGTGAGGTCACAGGCGGAGAGGGCGACGGGACTGTCGTGTCGTGCACCTCGACGCGCACACCCACACAACGATGTCGGTCGCTCCACTTCGTCAGGCCGCCCCGCCTGCACCAGGCGGCAGACTATCGGCCCGCCCGTGCAGGTGGCCTGCAGCATGCCTGCACCGCGTGCATGCGAGCGGCCGGGTTGCCTACTCGCTCGCGCCACTGGCACAGGCGCCACCACCACGGTCACTGTCAGCGGCGATAGGCAACACCTGGGTGGACGGGAACAGCTGCTGCGAAGGATCCAGCCGCACCCACCCCGGCGTGCTCTCGGCTGCTTGCCACTCGGCAGGTTGCAT